TGAAAATATGTTTCCAGTAGTTTTGGATTTGAGTAGAATCTTTATGTCCTTTGCTTCCTACATTTGTATTCCAGCTGTTGGCTTCCTGTACCAGGCAGTTAACAAATGTTTTTCTGTCACTGGCTTGACAAAGGAAAGAGGAAGGTGAAGAATATGAATGAGTAATAAATTATGGCCTGAAAAAGCTTTAATTCCTTAATCAGAATCAAAATATAGCTAAAGTTTACTTCAATGTTATTTGTTAGTATTTTATGTCAATTTGTTACTCTCAAATGTCGTAAATATTCCACTTGCTAATAATTTTTCTTTTTGTATGCCAGAGAATTAAATATGTACAGGGAAAAAGAAATATAATCTTTTGATCCTGTTAGGCCAGGAAAAAGAAAGATGGATAGGAGGACAGAATTTTTTGTTTTGTGCATGCTTGCTGGCTGGAACTTTAGTTCTCCAGTATTTTTTACTTGGCACGGAGTTAGTTTAAAATGGGAGTGAGGGGAGTTTCAGTTGTTATCCAAACATAAATCTGGAGTAACTTAATGTGTATGAGGAATGAATGCCTGGCACATACTAAAGACAAAATACTTTCTCTCAAATTGTGCTGGGTGTTAGCAAAGGAAAAATAACGTGACATAAATGAAGACAAAGAAGTTTCTGTAAAGCTCACTGTGTAATTCCATCCAGCACACCCACATTTAGTATTTACTGAACAAAGATTTAAGGGCAGCAAGTCAAGATGTATATTTTGTAGTTGTCTTAGCAAAACATTTTTGTGAGAATGATAACTTACCAAGTCTTTATGAATTTGAAGATAAATGTCCTGTCTGCAAACTGAGCAAGCTCTCTTTTAGTTAATAATTAGCAAAACAGTTTTATCTTTGTGTATAAAACTACAAGTGACTTTACTTATAATATTCATTAATATTTAGACATTAGCTCTATGTAGCCTCCTTTACCTCCTGAGTGCTTTACTTTACGCATATACTACTGTTGTTGGCCACATTAAAGTCTTTTTTGCTACTTGATTTAGATAAAAGTGGCAGAAAATAGTTTCGTTTTGTGGTAATTAGGGACATGCACTTTGGACATTTTTTTCCTGTGAAATAATTTTGATGTAAAATGGCATCTCAGGTAGGGTAATATAATAAGGTAATAATGTAATAAGGTAAAGTAATGCATTTGTAATACAGAACACTAAGAGGATTTCTTTCCGTGGTGTCCATACTTTCAGGAGATTAACTTCCACTTGTTGGAAGTTGAACCACTTCCATTAAAGCAAAAGTTTTGTGACTTAGCAAACACAGTAATAATACATACATATTACTTTTGCAGTATTACAGGAACCAAAACAGCTGTATCTCAAGGAATGTAAATAATTACCCTCTTTTCTTTTAGATATGGGGGGGAGGGGGCAACTGAACTCATGTCACTGTTGACTTTCTCAGCAGAAATGTTGGAGGCAGTAAACTTTTAGCCTCTTGCTTATGAGTTATTTGCTACTGAGATTACCTGTCAACGTAAACACAAAGGACAGTTCTTTAATCATTAACTGCCACTTTAAAATTTGACTGACGATATTAACAAAGCAAAGTTACATTTTGCTCACTGCTGATGAAAATTTAGTGATTGAGTTTGACCATTTGCTGCAGGTTAGACAGGAAAAGGGCATTAATAGATTTCCATCACTATATGAAAACATATTTTTCAGATACTATTAAATATCTTTACCAAAAGTATTACTTGTGTGATGAAGTACACACAAAAGTTATGCCGGAGAGTTCTAACACCTTAATTGGCAAAGTAGTTAGTATCAAAAGAAACACAGTCTTACAGGTAGCCTTCATGTAGTACACTTGGGATGTTTCAAAATTAGAGAGAGCAGAGAGAATGGCAAAAAATGCAGATATGGAAAAACTTGCATTTGGAAATTAATTCTTTGCCTTAGGAATACAATATAATAATACTCAAAAATGGAAAGAGTAGAACTAGTAGACACTTTTTCCTGTTGTTGGTAATAAGGCAAGGGATTTGAAAAGAAACTGCTTTCAAATTCACTCACATATTGGTCTTCATACAGATAGATAATTTCAAAGGAAAAATTTTGAAACATTAAAAATATTTTTGTTTCAGTGATGTCTTTAAAGGTAAATACCAGATTATTTCCTCGACTTCCTATTTTGTTTCTGTCCCGAGAAATCTCTAATTTTTTAGTGTTTAGGCTATTTTACGTGCTGTTTGCTTGATAAGTTTAGTGATTGTTGATAGAGGTTTTCTATCCCAAAGACCTACTTTTGACTAGAGCAGTGCTGAGTAAAGCAGTAAGTGTGCCTAAACATACTTAACAACATTATGTTTGGCAATAGTGAGAGATTCAGACTGTGGAGAGTGTACTTTTTCTTCTGTGTCTTCAGTTCATCGGCTGAAACTGAAGTTTGTGGAGATTTTGACTGGTAGGGTCTGGTTTGCATTTTCTGACCTGCAGGTTGCCTCATCCTTCATTACAATCAGGTTCTTCTATCAATGATATCTGAGTCAAAAGTACCTTTTGGTATGGAATGCTATTAGGTAGTGATACTCTGTCAATAGTAGTTTTCACAAACACCCTGCTCTTCCTTGAATACCACTTACTAGTGATGGAAGGAATAGCTTTTACCTTTAACTCAATGACTGCCTCATCAGAGGCTTGTCTAGACAGGTTTGTTATGCAGTGGTCCTCCTTTTAAATGTATGTGAAGAAGTGAGTATCTAAAAATTCTGGACTTCAAAAGTTCTTAAAGATCACACTAGACTCTCTTGTCACAGTTACTTAAGTGTGCTTTGACCTTTTACCAGTTCATAAGATCTTTCAGGAAATCTCCTATACAATTTATATAGGCATTGATACAAATTGGGGTTTGGTGGCTAAATGTGGTAACTGCCTCATATGGTCAATTTTGTGGTACAGAGATGTAATTGCTGTGACGGGTGGAACACATTTAATCTCAGGTGACATTAATTGTCTGTAGGACATGTCTGTTCTTAGTATCTGTAGAACTGCTGCTGCTACATCACCTTCATGTTTTCTTGACAGTCTGTGCTTTGGATAATAGACCTTCAATCTTGAATGACCTAAGGATTCTTGGGCACTTTGGTCTCAGAATTTTCAATTGGCAGGAAAGTGGTGTTGGTATGGAACATTGCTTGATATCACCCACAGTGTAAAGTTATGTGTGGACAAGAAAAACATGTTTCTTAACTGTAACTGTTTTTCTCCAACCCGTATTTTCTGTGTGTTCAAGACTTGATCTTCTGCATTTGTTCATTGGAGTGCCTGAAGGAGTCTTAAAGTTTTTCTGAGACTGAAACCCTAAGAGGGAAAAGGGCTGACTTTTCAGAGCTGCCTACAAAGCGTACAGATGGCACAGTCCTGTATATACACCCCTTTGGGTATAAGTGAGGCAAAAAAATTACCTTGCTTTCACTATTTAAATGGATGTATTTGCAAAGAGGTGAAAAAAGTCACGTATGGGTAATATAGGAGTAACAGTTAAAAATTAGGAGATATTTTAATTATTAAACATCCTCAAGACTAAAGACATTTGCAAGATCCATTTATAGGGGAACAGAGTTCTTTTTATGTAATTGAGTTATGGAAGAGATCTGAAGATGCATACTTCAATAAGAAGATAAATCTCTATTCAGTAATGACCAAGGGTATTCTGAATTTGTCGCCCTAATACATATTGGTCTCAATTTATTTGCTTCTGAAAATATCTGATACTTCCATCCATCAAAAAGAAATAACTGACGTAGATGGCTCATAGGTTTAGCAACCTTTATATTAATTCTTAAGTTTTATATTACTAAATTATGAGCACATGAAATTTGTTCAGGGGAGCTTACAGTCAAGGATTTACTTAAAAATCAATTTAATTGAAGACTGAGCATTAATTCCTCATCATGTGATGATGATATTTTAATTGACGATAGACTTAATTTATTTCAGTGCCTTAGATACAAATGTCTGTCTCTTTCTGTGTTTGAATTTCTTTGAAATCTAATTTCAACTTTATGCATGCTGGTTTCATAATGTTTAATATTGACGTGTCAGCATCTTGAAGATAAATAAGGTGGGCTTAAGAGTGCCTATCAGTCATTAACTCAATATTAGTATTGTCACTTGATGAAATCTACATAGCATAGAAAGTGTCTTGTAGGACTCCCTTAGAGGTCAAGAGTGAGAGTTAGTGGAACGCCTTTTTTGTGAAAAATGCTCTGCATTTGGTTACTGAATGTTTCTGTGCATTTTCCCTTCTTTGCACATGTTAATCCTAGTAAATAACAGTTGTTTGGGTTTGCCCGTAGTTTCATGAAGCCTGTAAAGTTCTGCCATGTGCATATCTAAATTTCACAGATTTTTGGTAGTAAAAAGATAACTTTTAATCAGAAGATGTTCATCATCATTTGTTTTCAAGATCGTATTAAAAACTGACAAGTCTACTTGCAGATAAAGTTTAATAAAGCCTATCTTGTTTGCTTTTAAGATCACTCAAGATTGTGTCTTGAGTTGTTTGATGCTATATACATGGCATAAAACATGGATAATGGATGCCTAATTCCATTTGTTAACTGGTTCCTGTGACATGAGGTTCCATTTTTGAGATACATGTACGCACTCCTCAAATCTACTTGAAGTTCCTATTTGAGAGCATTGCAGACAAGGGTAGTGATAATTTACAAAATCACTTAATGATGCATAATAGTGATACAAACATCAGTTGGAAATCAGTGGGAATAGTCATTGGGGAAAAGAAAGCAATAATCTCACAATAATATCTCCTAGTATCTCTGCAAGACCAAATATATCTGGATTTCACTGCCATTGCTCACTAGTACTGATATCAGTACATTGCTAAACCATGAGTTTGTCTTTCAGATGTGTGGGAGGCGTTGCTTTCTTTGCTAATAAGTTTTACCTTAGATAATCACTTTTCGGTGTTTTTTGTGTTTTGTATCATTTCAAGGCCGTTTGTATGCAATGCAAACAGGGATGAAGATCGATAGTAAAACCCCAGAATGCCGTAAATTTTTATCCAAGCTTATGGATCAGTTGGAAGCTGTAAGTAGAATTGATTGCTCTCCTTTAAAATGATTCATGATATTACTTTTATTTAAGCTTCTGCAAATACAGTCTCTTCTCTGACATTGGTCACTGATGCAACTGTTCTGTATGCAGGCACATTGTATGAATTTAAGTTGTATGTAATAAATTGGCAGAAGGATTGGAAAAGGTAAAGGAAGAGCTAAAGCTGTATGTATGCGTGCATGCACAAACATAACTGAAATTTTGCCTTAAGGTTTTGTGTAGACAACATGAGTTACAGTACTTTATTCAAACGTATTCCCATGCCAAATCATAATTCATTATGAAATAAATGCAGATGTGCTAGAAGATTTTTTAGTGTATTTGCCTTTGATTCCTTGAAGCGTGTGAGCATTATTTTCACTGCTGTAGGACTCACTAGCCTAGTCCTTGAATGCTTTTGAAAGTTTTGACCCAAAACTTGTACCCAGTGAGTTTTTTTTAAATATTCTGTAAAAGATAAAGATACTTCTCTATTAGAGACTGGAGATTTTATACTATGAATTTTTGTAAGTGCAGTCTAATCTGTGTCAGAGATGGCTGTGCCATGCTCTTTGAATGGATCTGATCCTATTACAAAGCCTTAAATAGAACAGATTTAAAAAAAAAGAAAGGTAAAGTTATTGCACAAATGGTCAATATGAATTTTAGGAGCTGTTTACATTCATACCTTGTAGTTTTCAATATTCTCAAAGGAAGAAGTGTGTGGTTTAAGTGTTCATTTGGAAGCAGGAAATAATGTTGAAAAATGAAGCAGTTCTTTGTGTGTTCACTATTAGTAATTCTGTCCAAAATCTAGCCACAGCAGTGCCTGAAGAGTTTGTGTGAAACTAGCACAGCAGCCTTCAACTATGAAAGATGGATGCTTCATCTGTGAAAGTATTCAAGGCCAGGTTGGATGGGTCCTGCCTGAGCAACCTCATCTAGTGAATGGCATCCCTACCTGTGGCAGGGGCGGTTGGAGCTAGATGATCCTTAAGGTCCCTACAACTCAAACCATTCTGTGGTTCTAAGATTCTTCAGGAAAAAAAAAGAAACATGAACTATTTGGGTTTTTTTCTCATACCTTGTGCTTCTTGCTATGTTTTATAGCTGATCTTTAGTAATGGAAAATTCAGTGCGCAGTGACTTCTTGGTATGTTATTCATCAGATTTTGACACCTTTAATGGGTCTGGCTTTCATACTCAAAGAGGGAGAGAGGTGGCAGGAGAGGTGAGATTAAAATTCCAGAAGATTTTGCTCTTCATTTCCTAAGGATTGTTGAAATTTGTTGGATCCCTAGTGGTACTGCAGCATTCAGTTACCCCTTCTGTTTCAAAGGTGGAAAGACTAGAAGAGCAACAAGTGTCCATGCTTTCATCTTTCAGTCTCTGGTAAGATTGTCTGTGTGACAGCTGATGCGCAGGCATCGAAGGTTCTTCCACATATCCAAGTGGTGGAAGGACGGAGAAAGCACCTCTAAGCAAATGTAGGACAGCAGTTTTGTGGGCTGGGAAGCTTGGGTTTATGGAGAAGTTGTACCTCTGCAGCAGTTTAATAGCGGCCTTTTTCAGTCTGCCCTTAACCACCAGGGGGCACAAAGGGGCGCTGCAGGTCTGCCGTTTCACTGGCACATAAACTGCCAGATAGGACATAAGCTTGCAAACAATCCTGAGCTTTACAGTAGCAAAGAATGAAACAGTGTAGATATAGCTGGAAATTACCAGATCTGTTCTTTGCAAGAAACCTCATAATATTCCAAAATCGTGAATTAAACACGGTGATTTTGTATCCAAAAGGCATGTTTCCCTTAGAAATATTTTTACATAGACTTGTGTTGTTTTGCTTTTCTGATACATGACTGTTTAATTTAAATGTTCAGGGGATTTTTTGTAAAGTTAAACTGAAGTAGCTTGATTTTTAGGTTCAAATTTTGAATCAACATTTATAACACCAGTACTGCTTTATTGAATCACAGTCTGTGTGATGGGTAATTTCAAAAGTAAATAACTTGGTTAACTTTAATATTTTTAGAAGTGTATGTAACAACGTCAGTTGTGTGTTTAAAATAATCTCCATTGAATGTCAGATCAAGTATATAGTTATTCAAGTACAGTTATTTTCTGCGTGTGAGGTATATAGACAGGCTGGGGAAAATAAATGTGTATACAAACAACTTTCTTCCTGAGTTAGTGTTTCATCTCAGTTACATATCTTTCAGTTTACAAATTGTGGTACTCTCACAAGAAAACTACACTTTGTGGAGCAAATACTTTTTAAAAACTACTTAGAATAGTTGTTGACGGGAGTATTTAAATTTAAAATTCTATTTGGGAAGCTTATATTTCACCATTGAAATCAAGTAACTTTTCTGGCAACATTTTAAGTCTTAAAAAGTTGGCAGCAGTCTAAAAAATATGGAAATGCAGCCTGCATGATTACATTTTCTTCACACGCACAATGAAAAATAACTACCATTCAGAGATTGTTTTCAAATCTTTTGGCAAAATAAAGATTGCAGGTTAGTATCATGCAGTTTTCCTGTTTTTGTTCTCTAAGGATAACCTGAGATTTCCTTATGTGCAAACAGTAAGCCTATTCAGAAGCTGTAAATCCACCTGTTGTAACTGTTAGAGGGTTGTTTGCTTTACTGATTTTTATTAGGAAACCTGAAGATTCTTGTACTCTAACATCTTTGAAAAGAGTTCTTGAATTGAAATACACTGCTTACATTGAAAATTCCAGTAAACCCATAGGTCACTAGACCAGTCAAGGTAGGGCTCACACACTTTGAAAGATTTAATAACTTGCAGTGAAATAAGCTTTATAAGAGGGAAGATACGTGATCACTCTGATCTATAGCACCTTTTTAAAGCATGCATTACTTTACTGATTGAACTGTGTTGTCCTGACACAGGCTTCAGAGTGCCTGGTCTTTTGGATACTAAGGGGAAAAACATCTGTAGCTATTCCTTCACAATATTGTAGTTGTGTTTATTTTTAACTTTTATGGGGATTTTCTGTGTTTTTTATTTTATGATTGAAGATTCAGAGCTACTTATTCATGTTTCTCATGTTTCTCTCTCCAAAAGAATGTGCCTTCTCTTTCGCACACTGCTTTTAGCATTTTCTTATGTTAGAAGCTGGAAACTTGTAAAATGAAGTGTATGTTGTTTCTTTTTAATGTGTACTTGTCTTTGTTTAAGTCAGCAGATTCATTTTGTGTTTGCAGAATTGCTAGGGTCTAATAAAGTAATTCTTGTATTTTTCCAACACTTTTCAGATGAAAAAGCAATTTGGTGATAATGAAGCAATTACTCAGGAAATTGTTGGTTCTGCTCATGTGGAGAATTATGCCTTGAAAATGTTTTTATATGCAGACAATGAAGACAGAGCTGGACGATTTCATAAGTAGGTGAAAATCTTCCATTTTCTTATCTGAATTAAGATGCTGGTCAGGGAATGTGAATATCCAAACTCCCTTTAATTTGAATGGAAACAAGAATTGAGTTTTAATGCATTCTTTTCTCTTTTAGAAAACTTGATTTGTTGCTACTTGTCTATCTCTAACTTCACACATTATTTGGTATCCTCCTTCTTATGTTCCTTAAGAGGCTGCTAACCTGGCAAGCCTTCTAAAACCACAGACTAATATTGCACTTTATTTGCATCAAGCATGTTATAGTTTCTACTGACCAATGATAGTACAATAGCCGTGATGATCCATTATGTGGTTTGGTTTACAGCAATTACTGTGGCATGTTGATGTATTTTTTGAAACTAATATAGGATTTCGTACATCCTACAGGGAACATTCCAAACTAGGATATAAGTGCAGAATGCATGAGCAGTTTTAAAATATACTGAACATTTTCTGTACTGTAGTCAGGACACCAGTATATTGCTAGATTTAAATGTTGTGAAGCAGGTTCTGTAACATCAGATTAAAAGAAAAAAATAGTGGTATTTGGGTTGAAATAAGCCAGTGTGATCTAAAAATGACAACTTGTAAACTGTGATTCTGAAGACTGACATTACCAAGTTAGTGAAATCTTTTCTCTATTACAGAAACATGATAAAGTCCTTTTATACTGCAAGTCTCCTGATAGATGTTCTAACGGTATTTGGGGAGCTCACTGAAGAGGTAAGTGTTAGACATACGAGTGTATTACGTGATTTCTTTTGCTAGCACAGATGTTGCTTTTATAATGTGTGAATATGAATTTCAAAGAACATATGTTCTGATTGTATAGTCTTAGGCTTGTTAATAAGTCGTAAGGAATTGTGTTAATTATTTCAGATAAATCATACGTGAAATACTAGACAGCTGTTGTCTGTTAGAAGATGCTTCATGAGAAGTATCAGTTATAAATTCAAAGTTTGATTATTACTGTTGGACACATAGCATTATATTGAACAAGTGGGAATGCTTATAGAGAAAAATGATGAAAGGTTCCTGGCTTTTTCCACCTTCGCTTTTTTCCATGCCCTGCTTGGAATTCACAGACTTGACATCCCATATGTAAATCCCCAATCCGATAAGTGTGCCTAATGTGCAAGTTGTACTTGCTCAGTTTAAAATGCAGTTGTTGTGGCTATTTTAATTTGTAAATTTTGGAAGGAGGGTAAAAGAATAGCTGTAATAGTGGTGCACTTCTTTTATACTATGGGATGTAAGTGTAGATATTGAAGATAGGTCTTACCAAGAGAAATGCTTGGCCAAGAGTTCTTTTAAGTTTCTGTATTACCCACAGCCTGAGACTTAAGCAATCTAAAATTCTCATTTATCAAGAGGCACAAGTAAGTTTGCTCTTTCATATGTTCTCTTAAAACTGGCTGCTCTGCACCCCAACATCCTTTACTGTATCAAATAATAACATTTTCTAGAGCCAGAGAGTAAATGCATATTGAATTGGATTGAAAACCAGTCTTAGGCTGTAGGAATTGAGTGCACTGAGTTGGTGACTCCTTAGAGGTCTCGAAGCAATCCTCCTTTGAAGATGGAAGAAATTTTTATTAGTGTTGGTGTGAAGTGCTGGTAGTGGTGTGTTTACTCCTGTGTATCAGGGGGTTTTGTTGTTGACACTGAAAGGACAGAAATGCTTTGAAATTGGAAAGAAGCAGAATTCTCTCATTTTATTTAATCAGTGAAGACAGTAAAAGAGAGTGTACCAGAGATACAGGAAAAGGCTCGCACTTCTGTATAGCATCATTACATTTCAACAGTTTCCTTATCCAGTTTCACATGAAGGAGTGATGGGACAAATATGATGTGACTGTCTTAGACTTTTGCAGAAGCTTTTGTTACCCCGAAGTAAGCTCAGCCTGACACCTGGTTATATAGTATGACATCTATATTCAGATCATCTACCTGTTTTTTCAGCATGTAATTGCCTTCGTATGTATGGATTCTCAATTATTAAAAGGCTTTTAAATCAACAAGAGAAGGCATAGAAAGCAGATACTTGACACCTAGCATCAGAAAATGGGTATTGTATGTAATATGTATGTTTTTAAATGGCAGTGATTGATTATTGGGTAGTATGAATGGATTGTGTCACAAATTAAGAGTGGATGTTCTATATCTCAACATTAGAAGTAGGCAAAGGGATTTTCTGGAAGATGTGTTTTACAAGACACAGCTTTCATCAGGTCAGTAGGAAGCTGTGTGATAGTAGTGTTCTTTTCATTAAGCTCAGTAGTAACGTTCATTCAGTAGGGTAGCCTTCCAAAAAGGGACAGCAGTGCACATTACAAACAAACCGAACACAACAGAATTTTGCCTCTCAGTTCTGGAATGATAACCTTTGCAGTTGGGATGCATGACAGACATGACACTTTGTTCCCTTCTCCTCCCTCCATCCAGCATATTGGGCGTGGGGGGTGCTTGACCCATTCTTAAATACGGTCTCTCTGGGGCACCACCAGCCTGGCTGAAGGTCTCAGCTGTGTCCCACAGTGGGTCTACTGGAGCTAGTTATATCCAAGGTGGGCCAACCCTGGCCTCTCCTCACTCCTCACCCCATGTTGCCAGCACCTGCCCATGGACACCTGATGCAACAGCATCTTCACATTTTATCAATAAATAATTGCCATATTGGAAGAGAGGGGAGATGTACAGACTGTTAAATATTGCATAATAATATATTCTAAAAGTACTATACTCTGGATGATAATTCTGCATTTTGTGGCTCCTAGTGTGTTTGTTTATAATAAAGGAATTTAATCTGTAACACTGACTGACCAGAAATGGTTATTAAAAGAAAGTATTTAACAGAAAGCCAGGTTTTCCAATTGCACTTTTTACTTCTGAGGTGTAGTGAATGTATTTTAATAAACCTGTCTTAAGGATACAATTTTTTTCTGAAGAAAATCTTATTTGCAAAAATGAAGACTGTATCTTTCTCTTGGCCTTCATAAGAGTCCTGGGGGATACAATATATTAAATATGAGCAAGGGAGCTTGCTGGAGATTACTTTTGTATTGTGCCTCTCTTCCCTGTTTTAGATGACAGTGCAATAGGCTTTGTGAAGCACTGTAATGAATGTCAGTTTATTAATTGTCAAAAACTTTGAATTTAATTTTAACCAGGACTTTTAAAGTGACATCAATCTGTCTACCTCAGTTTCCAAAACACTTTACCTGTGATTGTTAGTGTGGAAATTTGAGTTCACCAGTAACTTGCAGGTGGTGAAGTTGATGTGAAGCATGCTACCACAACCTGCATTGTTTATTGGGCCAATTTATTCCATTTATTCTTCTAAATTTCTCCTCTCTGTTTATATTCAGCCTTGATATACATTACCTCAGAACTGTCAGAACTGGTCGTTTCTCATATAACTTATGACAAAGTAGTTAATTTGAATAATCGGTTTAAGATTTGTTGCAACAATTGAGAACTCTTCCTAGATTAAATAAACATTGTTGAAACAGGCCCGGGAAATACAAAGTGGCTAATCTTCATTTCATATTTTGACACATTGAAGGTTGTACCTAGGAACAGTAAAGTACATTTTAAAAAATTAAATGGAAAAATCTTAAAATAGTTAAGATTCTGACATTTATTTCAATCACTCATGTTTTCTGAAAAGAATTTATGGAAACCCAGGTGAAATGCCTTTCCTCAATCTTTTTCCCAGAAACTGAAAATAACAAGAAATCATGTTGATTTTTTTTAATTTCAAACTGTTACCATGGAAATGGAATCAGAAAGGCAAGCAGACGCTTTGCTTCTCACTGCTATTGCTTCATACTGACACCGTTGCAAAAGAGAGTTGCAAAAAAATATATTGACTGTCAGTATAATAATTATTTTTAAAGACTTTTTTTTTCTATTAACTGTACTATTAAAGTTATTGTTAACAGTTTTTTTAAACTTGCAAAAGAGGTCCTTCATCTGAATTATAGCTATGTCATGAAGATATTAAATCAAAATATTTTATCCTGTAATATCCGAAACAAATCACATGTGCATCTACATCAACCTTTCTGTATTCATGCTTTTAAATAAATTTTTAAATTTTAAAATAATGTAATTAGAAAAGATTTTTTATTACTGATCAGCATGAGTAGCATTTTAAGTTTCGGGTATTTAAATCTAAAGTAAATAATCATTTTAAATTTATGGAGATAGGAAACTTTCATCATCATTTCACACTGATAATTACTACACAGTGCTCTACATTTCATACTAGATGGTCTTGGTATAATTTATTTCCTTTTCCTGACATACTGCATTAATTGAAGATCTCCACATTTTCCTTTCATGCTGAGATCCTGTTAGAGCTGTTATTTTTTTTTTTTTTCAATTTACCTATTAATTTCACACATGTTGTTTATCCTTAAAGGGGTGTCAAATGAAAGAGAAAGCCGTTGAGTTTTCTGATCTTCTCTCAAGGTGGAAAACATGTTTATGTTTCTGGTTTGAATGCATAAATTTGTAGAAGTGAGTGGTGAAAATGTCTGGCCTTTTCCCTTCCCCAGAATGCACAGCACAGGAAGTACGCCAGGTGGAAGGCAGCATACATTCATAATTGCTTAAAGAATGGAGAGACTCCTCAGCCTGGCCCCATTGGAATGGAAGGAGAGAGTTTCGGTATGTGTTTCTCTTATTTTCAAAAGAGCAGAGGGCTATGCCAAGGCCGAAATGGATGGTATGCACAGTTCTTGAGGGAGCACCCCACAGGAAGCACAGCTTCCCTATTTAATGCTCCATTCACAATGGGCCACCTTCTGCTTTTTCTTTTCAGCTTCTCCTACTGTTATTTTTATTGGACCTTACTGTTTGATTGACTTATTTAATAAAATATTTTTTTCTTTGTAGTGGAGATTTTTATTTTGAATACAGCTACTCTCTAAGAAGGCATTGTCAGCTTTGAACCAGAACCGTGTATTTCTTTATTAATACCCACGCTGCTTCTTTTAAATCTATTCTAGAAAGTTATGATCCCTTTGCAAGTTTATCCTCTCTCAGAAGTTATATAGGATTTGAAAATAAACTGATCATAGGTGAATTCAACTTCAAAGCAAACACCTGGTTGCAAGACAGCCCCTTTCTCCCTGTACAATAATGTGGGTTTCAAAACAGGTTTATGTTCTGTTCTTTTTCAGTTGGATTTCCTGCCTCTTTGTCATTCATCCTCCTTTTTCTCATGTTTTCAGTGGTCCTCTGGCTACCTGAGCTACCTGAGTTTCCTGTACAGGATTCCTTAAAACCTCTGTAACTGTTAGATAAAGTGGGCATTTCCAAGCACATCCATGTAAGCAAAATGAATGTTTATCACAGCAGGCTGTTTTAAACCTCCTAAATTGTAACTTTTACTGTCTTCTGTTTAATACACTCAGACCTGTCTAAATTGCTGCAAATTTAAAAGGCCTGGCTCTTCAGTATGAAATGTTAGAGACATTCAAAACTTTCTCTTTTAGAACTTTTTAAAGACAGACACACCACTTTGAGCAGACATGGACCAGCCTCTCTATAAAGTAACAGAACACATACTAAGCAAACTCTCTTTTACAGGATCACGTAGATCACATCCAAATCTCTTCTGAGAAAGACAGTTCTGTCCTCTTTTTTCATTATGTGTATATTTACGAAAAGTAACTAAACAATCAAATCAGAGTTGCCATATTTTTATTTCTAATCCTTATAGATTTTACCCTATTTCTAACATACAGATCCGCAAAGTATAAATATATCATTCATCTATATTAATACATAAGTTCATAAAACTTATGTAGCCACCTCTACAAGTGCAAATTGCAACTCCCACTGTAAACATCATCACATCTTTGTCAAATTACACCAGTTTGATGATTAAATGAAAAATGCAACATGTAAGAGAACAGTCTTTTGTTATATTGAATGTAATGAATAGCTCAGTTAAATATTTTTAGCTTTAAATAGGTTCTCTTTAGAGGTCTGGATCATAGTGTGGTAAAGCTCACCTGATTATCTGAAACAAATGTGAATTTTAAACAACTGTAAAATAGAATTTCTAAGTAAATATTACAAAGCTTTTGCTAAAAGTCTGCGCAACTTGTGTAGAAGTTAATTATTCCTCAGCAGCAACAAATAGGTTCTTTCTTCATTTTAGTAATGTGGAATGCAAAGATAACTGACTTGCTCAAGGCTGCAAAAGAAACTGTTGTAGAAATGAAAGTAGAATTCAGGGCTTTACTCAAATCCTTAGTATTCATTGCAGTTCAGTACAGGTGAATTGGTGAAGACTCTTACTCTCATTACCAAGTTATATCTACATGCAACTTAAAAGGGATGCAAGTGCTGAGTGAGCCAAAATTTTAACATCCTTACTGCTAGGGAGCCTGCAAGATCTATAATTTGGCAATATCTTTTTATTGTTGTTGAATTGTATTTCATGTAGAAAGATAATTTCTTGTATTTTCTGAGAAAGGAAATGAAAAATACCTTTTTTGACATTTATTTTGACAGTTAACTCCATAGTGTAGGTGTTCATAATATTTTACACAAACAAGACAAAAACTTTATGTAAAATAATTTTTATGAGAAGAATCAGTAAAAAACATTTTCAATTCTTGCTTTGTGCATCATAAGAAGAAAAGCAGCATTGTTTGAATGTATGACTGGACCTTCCCCATTCCTTTCTGCTTGCTCATTTTCATCCTCCCCTAGCAAGTGGAAAAAGTCTGTTTAAACAGAGTGAAGCTAAGTCTCTGAAGCTTGACGAATTACCATTTTTTTCCAAAGTGTTGGGGTTTTTTTTGTGATTCTTGAAAACTGTACTGTAACTCTTGGAGATGTTTTTACAGCAACATAGGCATGCTTTATGTGGTTCTGCTGTTGGATTTACGGATACTTTTGTCAGGATGCCACCATGGAAACCTTAAAATAACATGCTTAATTTATTAATGCAGTTGGAATACAAGTCCTAGAGTACATATAAAGGTTACTTAGCATTTGCCCTAGGTCATCCAACAAGATTTTATACTAATTGGAAAAAAATGGAAATATTTAAAAGTTCTAAATGGTTATAGTATAGCTATAGTAAACAAATTAAATGTAATTGCTTATACTACAATATGTAATATGTAGTCTACATTTATATTACAGAATTTCAGAAAACATTGTTAGTTCCAACTAGTAGAAGAAACATCACTTTTGAGTTCATTTCTCAATGTTGCGGAAAAAAATTAGATGTATATTTTTTTTAAAAAAAAATCAGTGTTCCAATAGAACCTTACATTAGGAATCTTATAGCAATATCTCAAGCAAAAGAGAAACAATGCAGCAGAATGGGAAGAAGAAAGCATTTTTAAATTAAAATTGATAGATTTTAATTCTCTGAATTCATTAAAAATAAGAGTCTGGAGAATTGAAGAAGTCTGGACTCCTTAAAAATAAAAATTTTTTTAATCTTAAATTTAGTGCACTAAGCTGCTGAAGTTAAGTCGTAATTGGTACTTCCTTACACTAGACAAGGATATGCCATTAAGCCTTGAGAATCCTCTGTTTATACAAAGGTATCTTTGGATAGTTTGTTATGGGGCCAGGGATATCAGTCTTATTTCACAAAGTCTTGCCTTCCATAAATAAATAATAATTTTAAAAACACAGATGTTCTGGGTATACTGTAGCTTTGCAGAAAATATGAAGAGCTCATGGATTCATTATGCTGGATTCAAGCACAAAGGCTGATGAGGTTCCAAGACAAGAAACTCAGCTGGAGCTGAAATGACATGAAAAACAATTGTGTCACTGTTTCAGTCTAGTATTTCAGCATCTTCAGGCAAATTGCAAGGAACTTTGAGTTCTAGGTTATTACTGCTTTATGAGAAAATAATTCTCTAATTTTTTTTAGTGTTCATTCCCATTCCCTGGGAAAGATTTTCTTTCAGTAATGTTATGGGTCTTCTAACTGCAGAATGTAAAAACAGTTTGTTGATTTAAATGTTCTTTTTCAGCAGCGTGAAATCCTTTTATTTGGCACTACTGTTAAAACTATTCACAAATACTGCAAGTGGGTATCTTAAAATGTTTCTAATTCTTTAATCTTTGATAAAGAGTATTTTAAATATTTGCTTTGCAGAAAGAATAGTTACAATGCTTTGATGATATTCGGGCACTTTCAACACCTAAGAAGAGTTAATTTAAACAAACCTCTTTTATGTTTAATACAGTTTAACACTGGCCAGTTGCATAATGAGCAAATCAAACAGTTGAGCTTAATCTTTTGGTACGTATACCTGATTAAAAAATAGATTGCTATTTTGTAAATTGAGCTTTTGCAGGCACTGTAATTAAGGGTGGTCAGCACTGGTAACACTTCTTTTGGTTGTTTTTAACGTTCTCAGACTTTTTTGAGTTCATGTCTTCCGTGGCCAGTGCTGCCTACAGCATTGCACTGTTATGGGAGTGATGAGACCCTGAACTATGCAGTGAGGAACTTTGAAGCTGAAACTGAGAATGTCTTGGGGATAAGATGGGATTACTGCAAGAGAGACACAAGTATGGGGCAAAGGTTGCAGGGATTTGAAGTCCTATTTCACAGAAAGAGAAATCAGAATGGGACTGGCAAAGCAGATAAGGGCAATGGGAAGCTGCAGGGGGCAGAATAAAGGAATAAATGCATTAACAGTTTAAGTCTGGACACAAATTTCACGCTATTTTTTGTAGTTGAGATATGAAGTACAGTGGAACCACATTTTCTCTTACTACCTCATTCTCAAAAGTGGCGTAGTAATTTTTACAACAGGTTTCCCGAAATACTAGTTTCATGCAGACACCCAGCTTGGAGGAGCCAACTTTATGGGTATAATTTGACCAAGCTATAAATAATTTGTAGCAGTGTTAGAAGTAATATTGGGCAGCCTTACCTTCAGACAGCGTGATGAGTATTGTACATATCTATTTCATTCGTCTTATGTATTGTAAGCCTCTGTGTTTCTGTTAATTTTTTTTTCTGAAACTTTTTTTTTTTTTTTAGTTAACAACAAAACCACTGAAAAATACAGCATTCAAACTTACTTCTATCATTCCAATATTATTTAAAAGATATTCAGTGGTTACTTTTGAACCTCACCTCTTGTTTTTTTGTCAGCTTTCAGGCATTAATTTTATTTCCATGCATATTAACCACACAATATTGCAGTATGAGTTACTAGCAAAAAATACAGGAAAGGAAAAATCTAGCTCCTTAAGATACCTTTTGTCTTCCAGAAGTCTACCAGATGTTTGTTTGCATATGTCAGAAACAGTTTAATAAAACTACAGTGTATTTATTAAAGTCCAGTAAAAATGTTCTGACGACACTACTGTTGATTTTACTCTGCTATAAAAGGCTATAAAGCCTTTTTTTTTGGTAAATAGTGTTGTGACTCAAAAAGGTGTTTAGTGAAGGTAGCACCTGAAGTTTTTTCTCTGAGGAAGAGGGTCTTACAGGGGGAAAATTCTTATATTTTTAATAGTAATGTTTCCAACAGTAGATGGTTTAATTATTAAGCAGTATAAGTGTTTGCGTAACACATAACCTTGTGTAGTTGAAGACCAGTATGGATTTCATAAAGAACATCTTTTGGTAGCTCTACACACATTTAAGTTTTGTGCTCCTATATATATTTTTTGTTCCCTTTCAAGAACTGGCTGTTAAAAAAGCAATTCCCAAAACTGTACTTGTTCCATGACAATTGATACAGGAGAATGCATATGCAGTAAAAGAAAATTAGCTGTTTTAAATTAACTGAATTCAAATGAAGGAGCAGAAATCAACCATGTTCTAAATTAACTGGATCATTAGTATAATAAATTGATCACTAGCCTTTAAAGGAACATTGCATAAAGTAGACCAAAACCTTAAGAACGTGATGAGATTGAAAAATAATATATATGTTCTTTGTATGTGCTATGGGATATATTGTTTTTATAGAACATTATGTACTATAACTGTTCTAGATGCAGTTATGACTTAGCTAAGCTGCATTTAGTTTTCTTTTTTGGTATTACTTTCCCAAAGTTCCTCTTTTTTGCTATGTATTTGTGGTTTGATATGGGGTAAAAGGCTTGTCTAGTTTTTTATGAAGAGTTTGTAAGGCAAATACAGTTTTCCATATTCTGATTCATGTATATATTAAAATATAGATTGCTGCATATTTGTACATCTTGTTCAGCTACTGCGGATGCAGTACATGAACCTATAAGGGATTGTTCTTATGAGACAGATCACTTAGATTCAGACCAGTAATTAAATGATCCTTCAATTTGAACAGGAGAGATCTTTGTAAGTGTGTGAGTTTCTAGGTCTTTATTGTATAGTATATTGCTTTTTTATTTTGTCAAATCAACTGTGGGTGGCTTGGGTTGATGTTTTATGAGACAGTGTGGTGGCAATTTTTTTACTAATAAAAATTCAAAAGGAGGTTTTAAAGAAAGCCAGTGTTTTCAAGTGTTTGTACAGAACAGCTGCAGTAATTCCTATTTTGTGTCATCTTAGCAGATGTTGAAAGGGAAGAAGCGGGGTCATCTTCTGTCCATAGTGGAACAACTCAACCGGCATCATCATCTACATATGAAGCTAACAACACACCATCTAGTAATTACACTGGCATACATATACCACCAGGTGCCCATGCACCAGCCAACACTCCAGCTGAAGTACCTCATAACACAGGTATGTCCAAATCACACCTAAAAAATCTTTGCCTTTATTGAGAGACAAACTCTAACCCACTTTCCATTACATATAAAATACCTACATATGCAGGTATTGTGTGGCAAAAGCATCTTCATAAGATAACATTGTAAAAATGCTATTGGGAATACTTTTTTATGTTTTTTAAAATGTGTAATTCATATTTTGGAGCCCTTTGCCGGAAGAGATTTATGGACTAAAACAGTGACTGTCCCTGCTGACAGAATCTTTTGTCTTCTCTAGAATTAGTAAAATGATGTTGCCATCAATACTATAAAGGCTGTTTGAATCTTTCATTTGATAGATCAAATTGTGTAACTTCATTTCATATTTAGCTTTCCTGTGCAGATTGGCTGTTGTTCTTTATGTGGGAACATATCCAACATAATGTTGAAATTGCTACGACACTGTAGCAGTGGTGCCTGATGTAGCATTCTTACTTTCCTTCTTTTTGGTTTGTGCTCCTTTTCCTGTGCAAGTACTTCGGTGTGATTGACCTCAGACAATATTATTAATGGGAATTTTATCCCTACTGCTAAACATATTGCCTCCTACATCCTTTTTCTTATTATGTGCAATTTTTGGACCAAAAACAAGTTTGTAAAAGTCCAAAGTTCCTTCCTAGTTGATGTATTAAAAAAAAAAAAATTGTCTTAAAGAATTGGTGAAGACAACTTTTTTACCTCATGGGACCTTTTTATAATAACCATAAAACATAATGATTGATTAGTGATTAATAAGATTAAAAGTTTGAAAGCTCGATTTCAGTTCTAATGATCATTTATTGTTTAGATACATTGTTATATTATCCCTCCTTTTACTTTCTCATTTTAAAAATGCTTCACCCTATGAAGAGTTCAGGATGCTCTTTTTTCAGTTTTATCAAAGGGAAATCCTTCAGATAGGTGGGGTTTTTTTGGGTCTGGGAGGGAGAGTGTGTTGTTTTTACCATATCTGAAAATTATGGAGTATGTACCTTGTTGGAATACATGAATTTCACTGCAAGTTTTAACCCCATCAATCATTCCATGCAGTAACAGCTAATTTAGAAAAGTGATTATACCATCTTCTTACATAGCAGATGTTGTAGAAATAACTTCATGTTAGTCTGCTATGATCTGGACATATTGCAAAAACATAGTTTTGGATCTAGGCAAATGAGTGTGTCTAAAATGGGAACACATACAAGAAAGTTTCACGGCATGAAGGGCTGTTTCATCACTATTTCTCTTTTAAATCTAGCTAGCTTTTTTATTTTCATCAATTGTTTTTGAAGTAATTAGGAAGGAGATAGTTTGCAAGTGTGATATGACAGGCATAGGGCTTTAAAAATAAGTAATAGAGACTGTCTCTGATATTGAAATGTAGAATTTAAATGTCAAATATAGAAGTTAACTCACACTCTTCTTTAGCAGGTTTTCCTCAATGCTCTAGGGTAACCAGTGTTTCTTGGAGCAGCGTTTTCCTAATTTTTTTATGCTTGTAATTAAATTTCTGTGAAATCCTGTACTGATAAAATGGATGACAGCCTGTATATTCTTCTGTATAATTTTATAAAACTTTTATAGTATGAAGTGAGGGCTTTAAAATTATTTTTTACACATTTTCAGAATTAGTAAGCTATCAGCTGCTGAATTTAAAAATCATTAGCTTCACCTGTTCTGTTTTGTTTGTTTGCTTTTAAAACCTATGAGTAAAAATAACCCAAGTCCATCTTTTTTGCATTGATTTGCAGGAGTGTCAAGTAACACCATTCAGCCTGCTCCTCCGAATATTCCTCTAGTTGATCCTTCCCTTTACAGTGCTCAGTCTGGAGGTAAACTGGTGGCATTTGTATTGTTCATACATGGACATACTGTGTCCTTTTTGTCTCCCCTGCACTGCAGGAAGAAGTTTGAAAAATATTGTCACTGTTATCTGAATGCTACTAATTCCAACATTTTAAAAAGAATGGACATCACCTCGGCATTTTTTTGCTAAGAGTTTAATAGTTTCTGAAAGCTTTGTTGCAATGTGTGTTTAGTGCTGTCTATCTATTTCGAACCCATGAGCTACCATTGTGTAAGGCTTTTTATTATTTATGATTTTACTTCTCAGGTGAGGTTCTGATATACCTAGCAAAGCCTGTATTCCCAATGGCCTTGCTAAGTTATATTTTTGGTCGTTAATACACATTCTCTTTACTTAAAATTTATTCTACAGGGTCAGTGTGTAAGTTATATGTTCACTTCATTAAATAATCACAACATTGCGTTGGTGGTTTTGGTGCAGCATAATTTTTATGTATGCTTGTCGACTACAAGCAGTACCCTTGTTAAATGAAATCATTTATAAGGTATTGCTAATCATGTCATTTTGATGTACCATTTAATCAAGGCTTTTATCTTCTAAGATGCCACCTGCCTTTGATGTTAAAATCACTAATAACCTATAATATCACGCGTATTTTTATGTCTGCTTGCATATACCGTGCTTTGAAGGGTACACATAAATGCTAACCTTAGGGAAACCAGTGAAAGAGTAGTCACTGACAATAAAGCTGGAATCATTCTATATTCTTATTTGAACGCTCATGTACATTTGGACAAATTATTAACTCTTTTCTAGGAATTTTTCCGTCCATGGAATAGATATTTATATTATTCAATATCTGAATGGTATCAGTTCATTGCTCCCTCTAACCACTTACCTGTGATAACCTGTTTTAATAAGTATGTAAATCAAAAGGAATTGAGTGTGTTTATGAGAATGCGTAGTAAGTAATATGGTGTAATTAAGAGACTAAAACCCTTGCTAAGCACCATGATGAATCTAACTTGACCAAACCTTAGTATTTGCATGCCTGCATTCCTCCTGTGCACATCTGTAGTATCACTACAAGTTTGGGTCTTGGAACAGTTCAGTGTTACATTCTTATGAGGGAGTTTTGCATTGGAAGAGGTGGTACAGGTCATACAGATCCTCAGTTCTAAAAGCTTAGAAAGTACATTGTCAGTTATGTAGGAGTTCAAGAGGGCATAGAGCATGTGTCAGTCAGCAGAGATGCAGTGACAGTTTTATTTGTATGTGTAGAATTAAAAAAGCTTGAGAGCAACAGAAAGCATTTGTCTGTGCCTGTCACTGTCCTGTTGTGTGTGCCTGGTCAATGCCCAGACCATCCTCCCCTCAGCTATATATGTAAGAGTAACGGCAGATACCATTCTTCTCGTGCTACTGAGGAGTCCCCTTCATGCCAACAGTACTCTGTTACACAGTAGCCTTGTTCTCTGACCCATAAGTAGATTGAGAAATGCCTGTATCTCTCAAGGGATGTACTAAACTCTGGGATCCAGGAGCCCCTCGGAGTTCCTGAGTTGCAGTATATATATTTGGGCTAGATCCTTGCTGCGTATGTACTATTCCTATGGAACTGAAGTTTCCTTTGCACAGGAAGAAGGAGCCAGTGTTGCCCTCTATAGAGCTAGCACAGTGCAAAGTACGCTTGCTCCATGATTTAGACACGGTGTCTGTGTCTACACTAACAAATTATACACGCCTATAAATATTTGGCATGGAGAACAGCTGGCACAGAACCACTCACATCCATACTATGAAACTTTTAAACCTTCTAAACAAGGTAGCTTTAGAAGAAAGCTCATATTGAACGGTCTGTAGCTTGCTCTGACCACAAGTCATGTCCAGGAATTGTTTGGGAAAGTGCTAGTTCACATGGGCCAAAACCATACTGGAGCCTGTTCCAGCAGGTTGACACTGTAGACAGTCAAGTTTGAGTGCTGAGACGCGTTCTTTGGCACTGTTGAATGTACTAGTATAGACATAGCCAAACAGGATATTCCACATAGTCCTGCAAGACTCTTACTGGTAGTAAGATCAAATGTATATTTTTAGAATAAATTATATATTTTCTTTCCTTCCCATAACATGAGAGAAGCAGTTTGATTAATGCTATGATGGGAGAAAAACTTTTGGCGGAGAGGAGTAGAATATTTTACCAAAAGAATTAAGTTAAAGGAAGTATTCTTTGATTTTTAGTCAGCATGAGTCTTTGAATAGTTGTCCTGTCCTGTGGGAACAGGTTTCAGAGTTTAACACTGACTTTTGAAGTGTCAAAACTTTTGCATTTAATTACTGGTTAATGAGTCTGACAACAGCATGTAGAGCTACACAGCAACTCTGTGTGTTTGTCTGTGTGCACTTCTCTGGTGTAGTTTTCTTAAAAAATTTATTACCCCTAGATTCTGCTAACACTACATGCATTCATAGTTGTGCTACACAGTTTTTATAATATCTTTTATATAGAGCTTTATAAGATCTATAAGATCTATCTATAAGATCTTATAAGATCTACAAGATCTTATAGGATCTTACCATATGCTCCCTTCCAAAAGTGGCATAGTATAGAGAAAGCATTTGTCCATTCTAGTTGTGTGTATTATAATGTAGAAATAATAATTTGACATTGAATGTGCTTTCGTGCACATCCCTTTCGAATATTTCAAGTGCTTTAATGGGGAAAAAGAGAATCTTGTTTCAAAAACTGTTTGTTACCTTTGTCATCACTGTTTTTATGCACCAGTTTGTGTGATTGAAATATTCTTAAATCAACTGCCTTATATTTGGACATCATAAAAAAGAAAAACATCTGATCGGTAGAAAAGGACACTAGGGAGAGGCAGATATATCATGCAAAACACACGCTACTTTCATTCTAAAACTGCTTTTTTTTCCCAACAGGATTTTCAGCAGCTTTGGTCAAATCATTTTCACTTTGTGTTTTTCTTAAACTAAAAGAGTCATGCTTCTTATGGATTCCATATGCCTTTCATGTTTCAGTAATGTAACTACTGTGCTAGTAATTCCAGATTAATACAGAAGCAGGTTTGTTTCATGATTAATACAGTATACTTTTCTCATTTGGTTTTGTATATATCACAGGATACTTTAGGTTGGAAGGGACTTCAGGAGGTGGTCTGGTTCAACCCCTCTGCTCAAGGAAAGATCCTGTAAAACCAGTCACTCAGGACCATGTCCTTTGTGTCTCCCCCTGCCCATGTGCTCTCTCTGTAGTTTGATTTTCTGCACTGAAGGAGGAAGTCTGAGAAAAAATGTCACTGTTAATACAAAAGACAGCTTTTGAATGTCTCCAAGGACAGACACTTTGCAGCCTCTCTGGGCAACCTGTCCCAGAGCTTGGTTACCCTCACAAGAAAAACTGTTTCCTGATGTTCAGACACAACCCTCCTGTGTTTCAGTTTATGCCCAACACCTCTGGTCTTGTCACTAGGCACCACTGAAAAGAGCCTGGCTCTGCCGTCTATACACTCCCCCTTCAGGTATTTATATACATTAATAAGATCCCTCTGAGTTCTCTCTTCTCTAGGCTGAATGGTCCCAACTCTCTCGGCCGCTTCTCATACGAGAGGTGCTCCATTCCCTTATCATCTTTGTGTCCCTTTGCTGGACTTATCTCCAGCATGTCAGTCAGTCTCTTTCTTGCACTGAGGAGCCCAGAACTGGACACAGCACTCCAGATGCAGCCTCACTAGGCCTGCAAGGGACAGGATCACCTCCCTTGACCTGCTGGCAACACTCTTTGTAATCCAGCACAGGATGCCATTGTCTCTCTTCACCGCAAGGGCAGATTGTTGGCTCAAGGACAAATTGGTGTCCGCCAGTACGCCCAGGTCCTTTCCTGCAAATTGCTTAATCCTTAGAATATGTAGATTGAAGTTGGTAACTCATTTCTGTGGTTATACCTTTCATGTAAGGCAGTCATTACAATTAAGTTTCACATTATGTTGAAAAGTTAAGAACACAGAACTGGTTTATTTCTATTTTGTTTGTCCATTGTGAGGTGCTGATTTCAATAGGAGCTCAGGCTACTGAGCACATCAAAAGATCAACACCCTTACTGTGTAAACTTGGGTTTATAAATTTAAAATTGTTAACTTTTTTCCCTCAAGTTATGTCATAATAGCATCTGAAGTAGATTTCATAATAAATAAGGCTTTATGCCAGCAAAACATTAATAGAGCTCATACTGTAAAAATAAGATTAGACGGGTGAATTTAGGCTTGCTTCCAATAAATTAGTTGAATACTGGACTGATGCCTTGGCCAGTTTTTAAAGAATGATTTTGTAGTTTCTCTTGGCACCACAGCATAAAGCCACTTTGAGGGGAACTTGGTCTTTTATAATTTCTTAAAGATGTTCAGTAATGTGGTTAGAGATTGACCCCAGCTGCTTCTACTCTGTGACTTTATGTAGGCTACAAAATAACCGAAGTGTGTGCCTGTCTTTATGCACTCCCTCATTTCTATTTACTCACGTGTGTACGTATTTTAAGAGATTTAATGTGGCTCCACTTATTCAGCAGTAAACTAATATACAGTGCAACGACAATGAGCCCACCAAGTTTTCATGTCCCTCAATGGTTATAATTATTTATTGAAGGGAAGATAAGTAGACTCTTTAGAGTAAGTTTTTAAAAATTGATAAATTAAGCTTAAGAGCACTTACCTTTCTGCTTTTTATTGGAGTAGGGTTTTTTTGAAAACCAGCAGACCGGTTTAGTTTTTAATATTCCCAGGTTTTTTGTTTTATTTGTTCAAAAGCTGTTCTTAAATAATAAGATTGGGGGAAGGAAAAGCAAATACAATAGACATTTTTTGATAAGAACTGAGATTCTTTAGTAAATGTTCTCACAGTATTGCTAACAGCAGTTCTCTTTTGAAAGAAAGGATCCAACTAACTGAAGTTGTGCCATAAAAATGGATTTAACTGTATTCATGTCGTTGCTTAAAGTTGCTTAAATCGTAATTTAATCAATTTTTATATAAAATCTATGGTGGATTTAAAAATGCATTTTCTCCTAATCTGTGAAATCTGTTCACTGCTTATAAAATACTGTGTTGAAAATTATTAAATATAGACATAATCTTTAGTGTTTCATATAATTATTCATTTGTGACTATAAAAATCCGTCATTTACCAGTTAAATTGTTCTGAAAGAACCTGAGTAAAGGTTATAATTTGTCCATTTGTTATTGGAGTGGCATGGGATTAGCCTTAAAACTCCTAGTTAATTTGTGGGTGGAAGGAGGTACAGTAACATAACTGTGCTTTATTTTATGCACACATCACTGATGCTATTCATATATAAAATCTTCTACCAGTTAGGGCTTAAGTCCCTACTATGCTTTCTTGAAGACTGAATGCATGTGTTTGAGCACTGCAGAATTCTCAATATTTTAACTTATGTTAAGAAAATATTCTGATTAATAAGTAACAGATGGTTTATACTATATTATGAGGATATGTTTTTCTAGTGTTCTCCAGTATTACAAAAATGGGCACATTTAACGACATCAATCTTGTTTCCAGTCATCTTACATGTAATTGGAAACACAAAAATTATTTGGGAAAACAGAAATATAAAATGTGTGAAAACATGCTCATGAGGAATTCTACATTTTGAAAAGTTATTCCAGTGACGAAGGAACAGTTTTTAACTGTATTCTGACTCAAATGTATTATTCCTGAAGAAGAGAGCAGAGTAATTATACTGTAAACACAAAAAGCACTGTCTTTGTTTCTTACAGTTTGTAATATGAGGACAGTTAATGTTTAAAAGTTCTCCTATGATGAAGAGCACATCTTTCTCAAAGGTATCGGCTTACTTTTGAAAGGCGCTGGGTCGCACAAATACCAGTGTTTAGAAAGGTGCTCGTATTTTTCAAAAGCCAGAAGCAAAGAAGTTAAGCATTGAATGGAAAAAAAAAAAAAAAAAGAGAACAGAAGAAATATCATAGCTTGGGCTTTGTAACACTACCACAAATATTAGCCTGGTTTTCATAATATTACCACAAGTATAAGTCTAACATAAAAATCATAAGAAAGGAAGCCTAAGTCAGATTTCCTTTATAGTAACTTTGTAATACTTATGTTTTTGCAGGAGAAGTCCGCTTGACTCCAGAGGACTTTGCCAGAGCTCAAAAGTATTGCAAATATGCTGGCAGTGCATTGCAATATGAAGATGTGAGCACTGCTGTGCAGAATCTACAGAAGGCCCTCAAGTTACTAATTACAGGCAGAGAATGAAGCCTTTATTCAACAGTTTCATCTTTTCCTTAAAAGACTAACATCTTATTACTGTACCTGTTAGGGAAGTGGAGAAATTCTCAATTGCATCACCCAGGACAGTGAAACCCCTTTTCATTGTCAGATTAGCAATTAATGGTACAGTAGGAATCTCTGTTTTCATCTTACAGACAGTGGAGCTAGAAACATGAATGCAGTGGCTTGTTGTAAGCAAAATACTGAAGAAAGTACTGTGAACACTGTGCAAAAGTTAGAATACTTTCAGTATTTAGATTATCAGAATGGGAAAATGCTGACTGTAAAAGGCTTGAGAATTAGGATGTTCGGTTAAAATTCTTACTCTTGTTTTATTACTCCAAACAATTATTTAATGAGTATAATAGCTTTAAAATGGTAACTAAGATTAGTGCTTTCCTCCTAAATGAGAGCATGTGAGAAGGCTGACAGATCCACAATGGGAAGAACTTTGTTCTGTATTTAAATAATTTCGGTATTTGTATTACCTGAGACATAAATCAAGGTTGAGGGAGACTTGAGTACCTTTGCATTTCATTTTAAAATGTGCTGGAAAAAAACATCTCTTGTTACTTCAAAGGGAGTAATTTTGATGTGTTCCAACCTAATCCCCTACGGCTGCATGGATTGCAACATGTGTTCTTGATTATTGGTTTTTGCTCCTTCTGTGTGAACACTTCACAATTTTGTATGTCTATGGGTAATTAAGAGAAAGTACTAACATTTATCAGCAATGATCCTGGAAGTGGAGGCAGAGGTTCTAAACAACATGAACTTTTAGGGAGATTTACTTCATTTGCTTCATTCCATCTTTCTAAAAGGCTGAAAAAAAAGCTTTTTCTTCAACCATTAAAGCAGTATAGGTTTGTCTCTGGTATTAGTGTCATAGAGTTTCATATTTTTGACTGATATTTTTCCTGTCTGCTTTGTTGTGGAGACTTTTTGGACTTGGGATTTAATTAAAATATCTTGGAAACTGGATTTTGAGTCTTTATGAGGTCTGCCCCTGCAATTATAGAGCTCTTGATTGTTAAAAGTCCCTCCATGATGTTTAAAAGAAAGGATAAGCAGTCTTTTAACTGGCATGACATAATAATCGAGTACAACATAAAGCATGTCTGATTCATGTAATAATTTAAATGACATTTTATCTGATCTTTCTTTCCAAGCTGTACTGCTTTGCAGTGACTAAAATAAGTCTTATATTCAAAGCAAAAAGATGAGGAAAAGAAAATCAAACATAAGTATACATTAAAGTTTAGCTGGTTGTATCCTTTTAAGAGTGTAGAATCTTTGGTAGCAGATTTTAAAGGGGTAATGTGAAACTTGTAAATGTATGCTTAAACACTTTAGTTGACTGAGATTTAATAGATAAAACATGGTATTTTTTGTGTTGCTTTCTGATCTGGTATAGCATGCTAATCTGGACAGTAAATTGGGTTAGATTCTAATTGTTGTGGGAAACTTAGAACAAAACCACCTGAAACTTTTTTAACAGTAATTCTGCAGACCTGAGCAATAACTCTGTGTTTTGTACAGTGCTTCATGCAAGATAGATCCCTCACATCAGTAGTAAACTGAATTACTGCAAATTATTCTATGTATATTATTGTTCTTTTACACTGTTGCATTGCTGTGAAATCCATTCAGCATTGCTATAAAAAAATCAGTTCCTTTCACTTGAGGATCATACTACTGTTTTCTAATACCAGCATCAGTCTCTAGCATTTGTAGGAGGAAATTCAGTTTTCCTGTTTCTATTTATAAAATAATAAAAAAATCTTTGGGACTTTTATATGACATGCAAAAATAAGCAAGCTATGATATAATATTGTATTTATTTGAGGCTTTTAAATTAAAATTGAATTATTTTTTTTTTTGTGATTCAGTGATGTGAAATGGAAGTACATAACTAAGAAGATTGAAAATGAAAATTTAGGTATTTCTTAAGATGTGTAAAGTATTGTCTGTTGGCCATGATTATACTGAACCTCTTGATTCCTCTAGGAAATCGAGGAGTCATCAGTAAAACAGCAATAAGCAATGTAAAAGTCATAAGCAATTTTCTTGAATGATCATTTACAAATCTGTCAACATTTTTGTGCTTAGAAAGAAGTAAAGTAAATGTTCTTGAGGGGAATGGAGATAAAAATACAAAAGCTTTAGAGTTTCTTAAAGAAGCTATCAGGTCATTCTTTCTGAAAATAAATTAATGTTTAGAAGAAATACTGTATAAAATATTATGTAATATGTTAACATATCCTAATACCAACCTTCAGACAACAATACTTGACTTATCATATCAAGTTTTATTTTGCATAAAATACTTTTACTCTAATCATTTATTTTTTCAACTGAGAAGTTTTATAGCAGTTCATGAAACCGTGTTTGAAATTCAGTCTTCAAGCTGCTAATGTTTGATGTAACAGACCGAATATTTATCATCCAAACTGATGCTGAAATTATGGCAAAACATTTCCATTCCTTAAAGTATAGCCTCTGTGACAGCTTTAAATACAGCAGATAGCCCAAAAGTACAAACCAATGTTGTAGAGCTGTTCAAGAAGTGTATGTATTTGACAGTGTTAGGCTGTAATTATTCCAAATTGGAATTTGTGGTAGGCACTGGAATTTAAAATTGTAAAATATTGTGTGAGCTTTTAAGTGTTGACTGATTCATTTTATGGTTGCTCTGAGTGATAAAGTATCAACCCATAGCTTCTCCTGACTGATTCCCAAAATACACAAGTACAGTTTTAAATTAAGGAGAGTGCTGATTTTGTTCCATACTGCAGTCAACGGCTCTCCTGTTCAGTGTGATTGCCACCTACATACTTGTTGGCCATTCTCTTTTGAATTGTGAGTTCTCAATCTTCTCAGTCTTACTTAAGAAAGGAGAAGGAGGCATTTTCTGTCAGATATTCCATGTTCGGTTTTGCTGCTCGTGTAAGCAAGAGTTTTAGTAATTCTGTTCAATGTTTGTTACTTAAAAGGCTTTATGTTTTTGCAGTTCTTTGTACTTCTCTCCAGGGGAAGTTCCATATTACACTTCTCGATTCCTGAAAAAATGTCTTGTGGAGCAGGTGATCATTTATGAAATGGTGGAGATTTTTTCAAATATGCATGAATTGGATTTACTAGTACTGGAGGCAGTGTTCTCAAAGTGTTAAAGTAATTTTAGGTGGAATTTTTAATTATATCCTTTGTAAGTGAAGTTTCAGAAGCACAGACTTAAGTATGATCACATTCCAGCATGTGATTGTAATTGTCATTTTTGAGACCATATAATACTGACCCATGAAAAATTAACAACAGAGAAACTTGCTGTCTGAAGTAAAATTTGGGGGTGGAGATGATGTGTGCGCAGACACGTCTGTGCATATATAATGTAATGCATGTAAATTCAATGGTGAGCTATAGGAATGCCTTCCAAAAAACCATAATTACTACCTAATGTATAGATAGTGTTTCCAAATGTTGTTCTTAATGCGAGGTTTTAAATGTACTAGCATAGGACCAAAAGCTAGCATTTAATTTTGTGGTATTCCAAATGGATGATCTTTGATTTTCTCCTTTTTCAGCAGTAAAATAGGAGCTTGGTACAAAAAGAATGAGAACACAAATTTAGAGCAAGTTAGATTTACTAAAGAACAAATATGGTTTCTGTTTTTGTAAAGTCTTTGTGGTAATGTTTGGATTGAGATTGGAAAGTGCCCATGCTTATAAAGTATAATTCTTGCCTTCTTTTAAAATGTCCTTTGTTGTGCAGTTTATGGAATTGGAGCCTGAGCCAGGATATCTGGATTAGGAAAACCTGGTTTTTGATGCCAAGTTTCTAAACCACCAGTGCAACCTGATACTAACAGCAACTGTTCTTCACAATCGCCTCAGAGTACCTCTTTTTAATGTTGGAATTTTAACCAAGTTTGTTGGGAAGAAAGAGCAATGCTTTTTTTCTTGCTGCATCACCACCTTTCAGTGCACAGCTGTAGTAACAGGAGAACTGGAGAAAATATGAATTTGCATTAGATATTTCACTGTCAATGAGAAAAGAGTATTAATGCTGCCAGCAGAGCTTTCTTTGGCTTACAAGAGTATTGGAACACTCTGATCATAAACATTGTAATGCCCTAAATGATCTCAGAATAGGAAACTTGTAAATAAGAGCATTGAAAACAAACTTGAAAGAGAGAAGAGAAAAAGAAATCTCATCTACACAGAATGAGAAGGAGTGCAGAAATGATTGCAGAAGAAAATCGAAGAAATAGTTAAAATCCCACATGGGAATGGAGCTGGGCAGTGATTGGAATGAGGTTAGAGTTGTTGTCTGATTTCTTTAGAACTTTGAAAGAGATGCAAAAAAAAGGCTGAAGATTACAGGAAGGTAGGAGAGATGGAGAGGAGCACAAGAATGACAAGAAAAGAAACATACTGGTTTTTTAATGCAGACTGGGGAAATGTGAGTTGTAGCACAGGAGAAAGTTTTCCTAGTTGATGAGATTATAGCAGAGACTAAGTCTAGCTCTAAAAGGGAAGCAAAAAAAAATACAGGTTGACATCATTCTGAAATTGGAGAGGAGCAGATCCTCTAATCCTTGGAATCTGTGCTTATTAAATATGTCATATTTATCAAATAATTAAAATGTGGCCCTTTTGGAAAACTTGGGAGCTTGTGTAAGTAACTGCATGGTACCTGCAGAGAACTGCAGACATCCATGTTTGCCTTAAAATGCTGTCTGCTGATTTCGTGCTTTCCTTCCTGCTGTGATTGCCTCCCCATTTTCAGCGTCTGTATTTAATCTGTGGTGCTCTCATAGCTAGAGGGGAGGTTGCTTAATTTGAATACAATGCTAAGTATGAGTGATAGTGCACATGTTTAGACATTCTCGGATAATTTGCAAATATTATCTGGTCTGGGTTTAGCTGGTAGGTGCTATAAAGAAAAAGGAAGTGATTGTACTCTCCTTTTGAGAGTACTCTCCTTTTTTGATTGTACTCTCCTTCAGAGGCTCTTTGACAGCAGTATGACTACAATATCTAAAGAAGGGTATATGGAAATAAACTACTCAGGGCCATATTCCAAGTCAGAGCCCAACAAACTAATCTCTAGGAGTTTCTAGATCTCCAGCTAAGCAGTTGGTGCAATTGTCAACTTTTCTTTGTCTCAGTTAACCCATCTGTAAAGTGGGCTTCTTTAGATTTAACACTTCTTAATATAGTCAGGATTTTTGTAATTCTAACAAGTAACAACTGGAGAAGGGCTGATTATTATAACAAGTTCCCAAAATAAATAGAGTTTTTAGGAGAGGCAGAGTAGGTATTAATATGTAATGAGAAGATGTATCATGAAAACGGAAGAAATGGGAAAAAAAACTTGATAGTATAATTTGGGGGACAGTGGGCAGGAATGAGATCTGAGATATGGAAACAATGTAGTTGTGACAGGCAACTATTTATATAGAGTAGTAGTATCTAGTTCAAATGTTAAAATATTGGATTCGTCAGAAATCCAACATAACCCCCATTCTACAATACTCAAATAAGTATTAGTGCCCTATTAAGATCTTTGAATGGCATTAAGCAATTGTATTAAAAAAAAAAAAAAAAAAGAAACCTGTGATCAGCTTCATACCTGTTAGCTTAACCACAAGGCTAAGAAAAAGCTTACTTCAAATTGTGAACAGAAGTCTTGAAAGTTCAAACATGGGTATGATAGTATACAGTATGTTTCTTCTTGCCCTTTCGTTCTGCCTCTCATCCCGGGTGGTTTGGAACAGTCACTTTTTAGAAAATTAATGTGAGTTAGTGTATTGAAATTAAAGTAATGCTTGACATAAGGCTCTAAAAATACTTAGGTTGAAATAGATGAACATGAGAATTGAAAGATGGATTTAAGCTGGTGGAAAAAGAGATTGAAGTAAATTATAAATTATTTTCAGAATGGAAATAGAGAGAGATCAGCCTAAGGACGCATCCTGTTT